GAAAGAGAGAGAAAAAAAAAAAACAACCATAAAAGCAACAAAGAGTAAAGCAAACCTCAGAGTCACCACCAGCGACCGTGTCCCACATCTCCTTTGTCTCAGGATCAGCCACCTGATCCCTCATTCTCCCTCCTCCACTCTTCCTCACCTTGATCTTAGCCTCCATCCTCTCCCCCTTCCTCTTCTTCTCCAGGATTTTCAACTTATCCCCTCTGTTCTCTTTCCTCTTCGCACCATCCGAATAGTCTTCTCTTGCAATCCCAACTTCGTCAACATCATAATCCCGGCCAACATCACCTGTGTCGTCATCCAATCCAAAATCCACTGGACCCGATTCAATACCGGACGAAGATTTTTTTATCAGTCGCTTCCTGGGCTTCGACTTGGAGTCATCGTACACTGGAGTCGGGGATCGCTGAGCATGATCATACCCTGCACCATCCACATCGTCCAGGAAATCCTGATGCCGCTCATCCCCATCTGATTGGATATCCTCATCAAAGTCCATCAATGGCTCGCCATCCTCATCACGGTAACTACATACACATTCAGAAAACCCTAACTCAAATTCACACACACGCACATAGAAACGATAATCAGACTTAAAAGCCCAATCGCATATCAGAAAAATACCCTAGTTTCATACACAGAAACGTGAATCACGCAGAAAAAATGAGTTACAATAATCAATTCAAATAGAAATATATCATGAAAGCCCGATACGTGAACTTACGGATCGTTATCGTAGCCCATGATTGATTTCTGGAATTAATTTTGTGCTCCGGCGGAAGTGAAGAACAAGGCTATAGCCTAATGGTGTACACGCGTAACCAAACGTTTATATACACGTTGTCGTCGAGGGAGTAGAGTTTGCTGGATTTTTTCAGCAAAAACAGTATGAAATGGAAACGTATTTCATTGTGATGGCAGAATCCCAGAATCAATCGATGCAATCGATATTGGCAATAATTTGACGGTAAATTCTTACAGAATAGAAGTAATAATAAATTAAACTTGTCGGTTTGAAAAATCGCGGGCCTGCCTAGAATTGAGTTGTTATTCGGGAACCTGCAGCTCGTTAATATATTGATGATTTTAGAGCTGCACTAGTGCGTGGCCCGTGCGATGCACGGTAAAATAATATTACGATTATATTATAAATTAAATATATAATATCATTAATTATGATTTACCCATTGTTTTTAAATTAAACTAGGTTAGACACAGTCCGACCGGATGGATCGAGGACTGGGTTATAAACAGTGTAGTTCGCTTGAATAAAATATTTACTATTGAATCCGTCAACATCAGTCGGTTGGACTGGTAGGATCATTACGATTTTCTAAATAAATTTTGTTACATTTGAAATTATTTTAAATAAAATTACATATTTAAATAAAATAAAGATTTATAAATTGTTTATCAATTAGTTTTAACATTTGAACTTATAAATTGTTTAGATATTTAAGTAACACATTTTATTAAAATTTATTACAAAAAGTACTCTAGATATATATATATATATATATATATATATTAAAATATATATATATTGATATTAAAATGTTTATAAATTAAAATCTGAACAAACTACAAATGATTTAATAGAATAACTTGATCGTTTCGACGATGGTTCGATTCTGAAAACCATATTCACTGTACATTAATAAAAAATATAATAAATATTATTTTATTCACATAAATATTAATAAAATGATATATAAATATTCATTAATCATTAAACATGTTGTCATATAACGTATTGTTAATATGATTATTTGAAGTTTGGGGAATATTAAAAATTGAAATGAATTAATTAATAAATATTGTTGTCATATTCACACGGTAATTCTTATTAAAACTTGAAATGTATTAACAGGCTTTGAAAAATGGTTAACATGCTGTTACATGTTGAACAAAGCCTGTTATCATTTCAATTTTAAGTGAAAATCACGTATCTAAATAACAAAGCATGTTAATCACTCTTTTAATATATTGTTAATATGATTATTAGGAAAAAAAAAAAAAGTTACTAAGAATAGTAGGCAATTAATGTTGACTAAAATTTGACTTTCCATTTTTAAAAAATGGTAATTCTTATTATATATATATATATATAGATTTACTGGACAATAGACGGAGCCGGTCCTGAATATTACTAGGCTCTCGGTCAAATGCAAATATAATGTCCTTATTATTATTATTTTTTTCTAGCAAAAAATGTTAGAAATTCTATAATACCAACAAACATATGTTTTTCCTAAAAAATGATAAAACTTATATAATCTCAAATATAAGATACGAGAAAAGCTAACAACAATAAGCAAAGTAAGATGCAATAGAGATACAACGTCATGAGTGTTTTCACGAAATGACAATGTTGACGGACGGATCCGGTCAACGGTTAAGTAAAAGTTTTTGTGATGATAAGAACGAAGAACAAGGGAAAAATATACGAGCAAATCGGGTTTTATTATTAATTACGAGGTCGGCCTCTGATACTGAGGTCGGCACTTTAGTTACACTTGAGATCCTTACGGGAATTTATTACAGAACACAAGGGTAAATGTATTTATTAACTTTTAAAATATATTTACAATTCAATGGTTATAATAAGAAATGATATTAAAATACAATTAGTACATGTAAACATGACCATAAATAATCAACATATTTATGAATAATCCGAACCTAATTATTTTTGGATTGGAAGTAATTTAAAATCTACCCAAGCCTAATAACGAAATATGTAATTTTGCCGCATAAAATCCGAAATATACGAACTTTCTACTCAGGCTCCGCACGTTCTGGATTAATATATAAGGGGAAGGGGATAAGGGGATATGTGTAATTATTTTCAAAACTCATAGCAAGGGTGTAAATTGGCCTAATAAAAAACAGACATAAAGAGTGAAAGCGGAATGGTCTTGAGTCAAACTCTACGGGCCCAATATACATCACACACTGAAGATCAGGTCCAAATCTTCGTGCCTTATCGGGCCGGTCCACTCAACTACATACATAGACCAAGATTTGACCCGAGAACATAACATGCCAATTCAGCGTCACATTGAGAGGCGGTACGCGACTCCATCTCAGGTAGCCCACGATCCAAATCATCAACCCTTCAAATCCACGGTAGCCACCACATCGGCGCGCACACACTCTCTAACCCTGCACCTGCACCTGCACATCCATGGGACTACAACTCTCAAGTCTCAACATGTCGTCGATCTAACGAGCAAAAGCCCTAATTTTGTATTATCTTCCTAATTTCACCCAATTAGGATATGCCCAATCAGTCAGACAAGCTTTAGAAATTCCCGAAATTTGAGTAATATTCCTGTTTTCTTCTCTCACAAAAGCATAGTTCAATTGGAAAGTTACGAACTTTATAGCTAAATTTGAGAAGTGGTGTTTCAAGCTGTTGTGGAGCTGGGTTGACTCATTATATCCTGTTCTCCGAGGTGGGGCTAGTTTTCTATTTTCGGTATGAACTTTTATGAATTCATGATGCGTGAATCTATATATTTGACATGCTCTAATGATTATTATATCCTTCAACATTTCTCCATCTCTCTCATTACGGGATAAATATTCCTGCTTGTTCTATTGTATCTTTACGTGGATAATATACAATCTTAAGCTTTCTTACTTGGCTGGAGTTATTTGAGCAAAGTTATCATGAATAATTTCTGATGAGTCTTATCCAATGATATAAGAATTGGGACTGACAATTATTGTAATTGCGTTCAGTTATAAATCTATATGGATGAACTTTTATTTTAACTTTTCCGAGCCTAATAATTGGTGTGTAGCCTGTCTTTGACAGGATGGTTTTCAAGTCAATGTTAGTGAAATAAGAGGAAGTTTTGTTTAAATCATGGGTAGTGGTGAAGTGGATAAGTCTTCTAATGAGGGGAAAGAAGCAAATGAGCCGAAAACTCCTGCTGCACAGGTAATATTACTTGTGAACTTTTGGATGGGTTCGTGTTATTCTTGCCTTATTTTAAAATTGTTCCATGTCTTTTGGAATTTCAGGATCAGACTTCTGCTTCTTCTGGTGCAGTTGCAGCTGATTGGTCTGGGTTTCAGGTTAACATTTTCGAAAGATACATTTTCGAAAGATTTCCCCTTTTTCTTTCTCTCATTGACATTACGAAGGTTATAGAATTTTAACAGTTTCCTCTGCAGGCTTATTCTCCCATTCCTCCTCCACCTGGGTTCATAGCATCAAGTCCTCAGGCGCACCCTTATATGTGGGGAGTCCAAGTATGCATCTTCTGAACTTTGTTTTCTTAACTTTCTATTGACTTTGCAGTACATACTGTAACTTGATTTTGCATAGGTTTAGTGGCTGCTATCTATTTTTCTTTATGTAATCATGACCTGTTTTTTAATAATCTAACTATGTCAACTAAGGCATACTACACATCAGCTGAGTATCTTTATGGAAAAAAAGGTATCAAATTTCCTAAAAGCGGTTTTAGTATCATATAACTTAGACATCCAACATAACTAGCTGTGCTTGTCAAAACTAACAGGCTGTTGTGCTGCTTGGAAATGTAGAAGAGTTTGGAACTATGTTCATGCTTTTGGATAGTTGATTGGGTTGAAGTAATGTGCACCTATTATAGAAGAAATAGTTTACTTATGACATAACTGCTTGCGGATGTAAAAGTTACTATACCCATCTAACATCATAGTTCTGGAACTTTTTTAGTGTTCTTATGTAAATTTTTTTTTAAATGGGAATGGCTCGTCCAAGAATATTTTTTATCAGAATGAAAAATATGCCAACAGTTTTAGGGAATTATCAAGGCCTCCTTGGAATCAGAATGGCAACAAGTCAGCGTCCGGTGGTTCTCTAAATAATATATTGCAGATAGATTCTACTACTTGTAGACTCCAAATATATCAGAGAACGTTCATTGCCTTTGATAGGTGAAATAAATCCATGAAGTACTTATTTCCTGATTTTATAAATGGTTCTACTACATTATGTGATCATTTGTAATTAACAATATTGTGTGGTTATTGATGTAAGTGTTTTACATCTAATGTTGTTTATCATTTTTTGAGATTTTCTCCTATTTGTGTGGCATCTAAATGTCTCTCTTTCCAGCAATTCATTCCACCGTATGGCACTTCACCTCATCCATATGTCATGTATCCTCATGGAAGTATTTACGCTCATCCAACTATGGCTCCGGTATTAACCCACCAATTTCATTTATCCTTTTTTTTCTCTTATTCGGTGATTGCAGTGTTAATATAATCTTATCACTGAAACTCTACTAAGCTTTTCATTTTCCTTCAAACTTGTTTAGGGATCTTATCCTTATAGTCCCTTTGCTATGCCTTCTCCAAATGGTATTGCTGAAGCCTCTGTGAGTAATCTTTGGCACTTAGATGTTTTTCCATTTTCTTTATTCTCATTAAATTACAGTACTTAAGTTTCATGAAACTATCTGACTTGTGCATAAAAGGGCAATGCTCCAGGCAACACGGAGGTGGACGGCAAATCATCTGAGGCAAAAGGGAAATTGCCAATCAAAAGGTCCAAGGAAAGTTTGGGCAGTTTAAATATGATTACTGGGAAAACTAATGAGCCTGGTAAAACACCTGCCACTCCAAATGGTCTACATTCTAAAAGGTAGGGAGAATATGGTAATTATAAAGTGAAGGAGCCACAAATAAATGACATTTAGACTTTACTGGTAATATATTAATATACCTTTTTATTTAATTTCCGCTCTGTTCTCATTTGGACTAGACTTTTGGAACTGGCAATGATATAAATGTCAATGTTCCAATTTTTACCTCTCTTTTCCTTTTCTTGACATTGCTTCGTTCTCTTCTTTTTCTCGCTTGGCTCCCAGGATTTGTACATTATATTGTTGTATCTCATTGCACTCTCCAAATTCATGACTTCATGTCATGTTTTCTTGTCAGCAGATGTGTGAATTTGATACACATTATTAGAATCTGCCTGTTGTCAATCATGTTTGAAACAGTAAATGGTCTGGGATAGTGGGACTTTCAGGATTAGTTGATTTGGTCTCAGTGTGTTCTGCTGATATGTTTTGTAGTGCTCTCACAATTAATATCATGTTTTCTTGTTAGTAGATGTATGAACTCAATAAATTATTTGTACCTGCCTGTTTTCAGGATTAGTGGGACTTTTGGAACTGGCAATGATATAAATGTCAATGTTCCAATTTTTACCTCTCTTTTCCTTTTCTTGACATTGCTTCGTTCTCTTCTTTTTCTCGCTTGGCTCCCAGGATTTGTACATTATATTGTTGTATCTCATTGCACTCTCCAAATTCATGACTTCATGTCATGTTTTCTTGTCAGCAGATGTGTGAATTTGATACACATTATTAGAATCTGCCTGTTGTCAATCATGTTTGAAACAGTAAATGGTCTGGGATAGTGGGACTTTCAGGATTAGTTGATTTGGTCTCAGTGTGTTCTGCTGATATGTTTTGTAGTGCTCTCACAATTAATATCATGTTTTCTTGTTAGTAGATGTATGAACTCAATAAATTATTTGTACCTGCCTGTTGTCAAACGTATGAAAACATAAAATGGTCTGGGACTTTTGTGGTTATTTAATTTGTTCTCTTAATTGATCTGCTGACATGTTTTGCAGTGTTGAGAGTGCGAGTGAAGGTTCAAGTGAAGGAAGTGATGCGAATTCCCAAAACGTAAGTTTCACATGATGCAGTAATTCACATGAGCCACAGATAAATTTCATGCATGTGTAATGTAACTTGTTCTGTGCATCTATCTGCACCATGAATGTCCTATCTAAAAAGTGATGACGAATTTGCTGATGAAGTGTTACTGTTCATCTAAAGTGATGAACAAAATATTCACTTGAAGTCTAGATCGTTGTTTTTGTTGGGTTTTTTTTTTTCCTTTTTTTTTTCTTTTCTGATCACCAAAGCTCATTTTTGAATAACAGGTAATTTTTCTATTAGAAATGATATTATGAATAATGACCCTAAAAGATGTCTTAATGTCACGGTGGTCTTTTTATTCCGCCGTGATGTCAACTTGAATTTAGGAGTTAGGACACAACATATTAGGGTTTTCCCAATGCAGACATGAAAAAAGCAATTCATTTTTTCTGAAAACAGTCTTTACAGAATATAGAAGCTTATCGAATGAACTATTCAGTAATAACAGTTTGGCTTTTGAAAATGCTGTATTAACATGTGCTGTTTCCTAGTTATTACTTTCTGTGATTTTCATTTTTGCTGGTAAGTTAAAAATTTTCACGTACCTTATCATTCTGCTTGTCCCTTCTTAACTTCGTTAGTTATACATACTACAGGGTTCACAATTAAAGACTGGTGGCCAGCCAGATTCAGGTGTGGGTCTATGATTTATACTCATTATTTGCCTTAAAGGAATCCACATTTATTTTCTGACATGTTATGCTGTTTTGCTACACCAGAACCATCTCAGAACGGCAGCACGGGTCGCAGTTCACAAAATGGTAAATCCATGGTAAATCAAGCAACACGTGTGGTACCAATTTCAGCAGTGAGTGGTGTTCCCGGGCCCACTACTAACTTAAATATCGGAATGGATTATTGGGGCGCCACCCCTTCACCTTCAATTCCTGCAATGAGGGGTAAGGTGTCTGTTGCACCAGTTGCAGGAGGAATGATCACCACTGGATCACGAGACAGCATCCAGTCACAGCTCTGGGTTCAGGTTTCCCTTTCGCTTCTTTATCCTAAACTAGTAGTGTTTTTTTTTCCTTATTTGTTTTTAG